ACAACCCCGAGGGGAAAAATAGACGTATACTAGTACCCGAGTAAGGCCATGCAATATGTGTTTTATAACACATTACACGTTCTTACTGTACCATTATTGGTAAACACACTGCATGTCTTCTTCTCGACGTCTGCTAGCGTGTCCTTCGTCTTCTGTGCATCTTTATTTTCTACTAATGTGTCAAGTTCTTCTTCTGAACTGAAGCTAAATCGTCCAGTCTTTCGAGGCGGACCATCGATATCAGCGACCGAACTAGCAGACGACATATTTGAAATCACACGATCAGGTGACAAGTGACGTCATCCCCGGGCACGAGTTGATGTACTAGTCTCCCTAGGGAACTAGTAATTTGCCTGGCGCTACTATGGTAATTTAGCCGATAACACGTGATCCTGTTTTGACCAATTACAGTACAGTATTAACGAGTGATGTCTTATAATACGATATATTATTATAAAGACAGTATCGCACTTAGCGGTTCCAAAGTGGGGAGGACATGGATAAGTGGAATTCTTGGCGACGCCCAAGGGGGAAATTCATGTCTGGTTTCTTACAGCGACCCGAATAAACTCTTGTTTATATAACCATATTATCTAGAACATAACAAATTAACGATTTAATATCATAGCTCCACGGCAACAGGCCACATAGTACGTTTGTGGCGCTGAATTGGGACGTTCGCTTTCAGTGGCTGCCATAAATGACTTGGAAAAAATGTATGCACTAACAATAAAATATTACGTGAATTCGGTAAATCTGTTTCGCGGTAACTCGGCTTTCGTCATTTATACACTTTCAAACGTATATTCAGAACTCCGTGCTGAACCCGCAAAAGATTATTTTATTTCACCATTTTTAATTAGGACAATCAAGTTACCTCTTTTTCCATTGAGTCCAAGTGAAATACAGACCCGTACCCAACTAATATGTACATACTAAACGTGTTTTTTTCTAGTTATGACTATAATGAACATATTCTTTCATTGTATATTCAGAATTTTTGTAATCCTACATCATGTCTTCTATATATATAGCTGCTCAATGGAATATTAGTATTAGTATATTACTTATTAGTAATGTGACAGTGTAACTATCTCGACTGAAATAGAACACCAAAGACAGACAGGTTCTGAAAGTATTGTTTCCCTTAAAAATAAACATTTTCAGCATGTTTTATTTGTCAACTGTAACTGTCTGCTTAATAAGTATGAAATTTGCATATTGATTAGTTGATTTGCATATTTTGCTGAAATATGCAACATTATGTTTAATTTATAATATTACTTGTTGGACATAACATACATCAGACCAAATATATTAAGTTTGTGAAATACATGTATTATAATATTATTGTCATAGAGTTGTATTTCATATCAAGATGTCTTCGTATAGTTCTGAGCACATCCGTTTTCAGAGACAATGCAACCGTATAACAGATCCATTTTTAAACGTTCAACTCTACATTTTATTATTATAATATAAATCAATTAATTTCAATGTAAATAATACATGCTAGCTTCATAGAGGATTACATAACTCAAACTTTCTTCTCTTACTTTATTAACCTTGTGTGAAGGACTCCTATTTGTTTGCCTGGCAGTTAGCATAAAATTCATAATCTCCAATACAAGCTGCGTACTGCATCATATGAGTGATATAGTGTTGTTCATGTATTCCATGTATCAGATGGGCCATGGGTCCATCGGCAAATATTGCTACGTCTTCTCCGCCATGACTTTCAGAAGTCTGTGGCACGAGAGATTGGAAGATGTACGATGGATCCTCTGAAAGTTATAACAAATGTACACTTTATATGGATATCTGGATGCTACATATTGAATGTGTGGTTTTAAATATTGTGTTGTTGCTACAAAATGTGGCCACAAAGAACATTTCAAGTACAATGTAACAACATTATAGAATTGCTACATCGTAATATAGGTGATTTGAATCATTTTACACCCCGAAGTCATTGTGAGTGCGCATTCCATACGCACTATTTCAAGCTGACGGGATAGGCAAAGTGTAATTTTACGAGTTCGAGTGCCGAGTTGCATGCTTTATCTGTTTGCATGTTTGCCCGTAATTTCGACTGTACTCCCTTCGCAAGAGAATCGAAACACAATATTTAGAACCAATGTAAAATAGGCTCTCGTCAAATTAGAAAGCAATGCACTTTATATGGATAACTAGTTTTGGTGACTTTATGAATATTGTGTTGTACAAAAGATTGGAATTGGTAAATTGGTCATCTGAATGTTATAACAGAAGTACAATTACATTAATAGGAATAGCTAGTTGTGACGACTTTCTGAATAGATTAGAACTCAAACCATAACTATAACCATTTCAAATGTCACATGACATGTGCATTCCAAAAGAAAGTATCTGTGCAAACACCGTGAACTATATGAAAGTTGAAATTGAAAGTTTCTTTCTGTCAAGTAAGTAGTACAGCCAAAACAAGATCAGCTTGGGCGTTCAGTTGCGAGACATAACAACAAAACGCAGGCAGTGATACATTTCGAATAAAATAAAAATACAAAATAAACGCAATCAGAGGCGCCGACCACGCGCGTTGGAAATAAATAGAACACGTTGTGACGCAGTCTTACCATCGTCTTTCACTCACGCAATATGATAATGCTATTTCCCAACGCACTTATATTTAATACATTGACGAAAAACACCACAAGAAAAATGTAAATCAGGCTTGTAATTACTAGTAACTCAACTCGAACGCAATATTCATCACTGTAAAAGTGGATAAATTCGAACCAGCCAGCTCATGACCGGAGACGTCCGGTCGTCTT